GACAAATGAAAAGCGCCAATTTACAGTACAAACTTTTCAAGGTACCAATAGTTATCAAACTTTAGATTCGAAATATCCCCAAGTATGACATCACTTTGAAATGCACGACACAAAAAGTAACACGTTCGCTTGTTGAATGCTCTATTTCATGTCTTAAACATATTGTTAAACTGTGAGAAAGTCCAAAGAAACCAAACCTAATTTGAGTTCAGTACATGCTGACACAATTGCATAATTAATCAATGTGTTATGTGCATGTGCATTTAGACTTTAAGCATTTGAAAAAAAAAAAAGTATTAAGATCGCAGAAAACTATTTAGAATTATTTTCCAAGTCGATATTTAACAAATTCCCTACTGCTCTATATGTTTGAGACTTCTGTGATTTTTTAAAAACTGTTCCTTCCCACACAATGCTGTGCCGGTGAACTAATGCTTTTTAAGCACTGTTGAAATGGTTCTGATTTGTTAGATATGAGACCTTTTTATGTGTAAATGTCATGAGCCTGTGGTTTTCAGTGAAGTGTGACCCTTGAGCCATGATTCTCTTTACAAACGTTCCTCTGTGAAAGCAGTAGAAATTCTGGATGAGACAGGACATATATGTGTTCTAGTATTGAATGGATGAATGAGCTTCGAATTGTGTGTATTGCCAAATTAAAAACTTTATAGTAGGATGAAAGAAGGCCAGGATAGCTCTTAATAACCTTTGCTAACATGGTGAAGGCTTGTTGTTGTATAACTAATGCATTTGTTCAGGACTGTGCACTATGTGAAAATAATAACACTACACAACCTGCAGATATCAGAAGGGAATTTGTATACGTCATACTTCCAACTTGTTCAGTTACTGATTTTTGAGGATACGGGAGCTGTCCTTGAATATAAAGAAAAGTGTCATGCAAAGGTTGATAGTTGGATTCCTAATCAATCACAGCATTCTTTCGCCAGCCCATTTGCTAAGCCAATGTCAAAGTTTTGTCTCTTTACAAGGCAATGTCCTTGTTTACACTATATGTTGCATTTAAGATTTGAACTTTGAGGAAAACAAGTTAAGCTTAGAAAAGTACTTTTAGCATCAATTCCCCTGAGATTCCACCTGCAGACACTTCTGTTTATAATGCCATCCTCTACTTTCTACTGCTTGGTTTTGTGTGTTTGCTGTACAGTGTTCGAAATAAATAAGATCCATCCATGTGGTCAAGTTTGATATTTGCTGCATCTGAGTTAAATAAAAACAGTTAATTGTAAATTCTGTATACGGTTTAGGTACAAATATTTTCCGTTTTGTTCAAGAAATGTTGCATTGGTTCTGTTGCACTGCCCTCTTGTGGTCTACTGAAGAACACACTTCAAATGAATAGGAATCCATGTACAGTATCATGTCTCTCTAATTAAAAGAACACTTCTGATTTTAAGCACAAGGTAGAGTATAATTGTTCCCTGAAATATTAACAAATAGCTGTTGTAGAGTTGTTACCAAATTTACTTTTTTTTTAATTTATCGTGATTCATCAACACCATTATGGTTAAAGTTATATAACATGATATAATTTATAAGAATTTACTCAGTAAAATGTAGCAAAGGTAGGTTTTAAATTTAAGGTGTAAGAAACAGGTAAACAAAATGGACACCGAACAACTTTGCCACTTACGTGATTGATTCGAGTTTTTCTGGAGGATGGCTGTCCAGTTTCACTTTAGGGTTAAGTTGTCAACATAAGTTTATTTTGTGGAATCCCATGGGAATATTATCAACTCAAAATGCTTGCAGATTTTGCTCGCCGGATGTGCGTTCGTGGTTTCCCTCCCCACCCCCCGCTTTCGATTCACGAGCTTGATCAGAGACACTTTTACCACCTGGACCTCCCAGACACCACTGGATTAAGCTGGAGGGAAGGGATCCTCCGGTATCCAGAACCAGCTCTCCGTCAAGCCCGCCCCTGACTCAGGCCCACTGGCCGCCGCTGACTTAACGCTTCTGGACATGGTGCTTGCCTCTGGAGTTCTCGGCTCCTGTCCTCGCCCCGGAATCATCCCCGGAAAGTTCTCCTTCGTCTCCGCTGGTCCCATCCAGCCCTCCTTCGTTTCCTGATTCCCCCGAGTTAACCAGCCTTGCACCTCCAGAGCGCCCTCCAGTGTCTGCTCCTCATAAGGGCCCTCCAGAGCTGGCTCCTCGAAAGCGCCTTCCAGAGTGCCCTCCAGTGCCCGCTCCTCCAGAGCACCCTCCGGTGTCCGCTCCTCCAGAGCGCCCTCCAGAGCCGGCTCCTAGAAAGCGCCTTCCAGAGTGCCCTCCAGTGCCCGTTCCTCCAGAGCGCCCTCAAGTGCCCGGGCACGGAAGATCCACTCCTGAGTCTCCTGATCCGCCATGGCCTCCGGAGTCTCCTGATCCGCCATGGCCTCCTGAGCTGCCAGCTCCGCCATGGCAACCTGAACTGCCTGCTCCGCCATGGCTTCTCGAACTGTCTGCTCCGCCATGGCCCCCTGAACTTCCAGATCCGCCCTGGAGGCTCTCCTGGTCTCCGCCCTATTCCTGTCCTGCACCCACCCCCCCTCCCCGATTGTGCTGTTGCGGCGCGGGACGCGCCTTCCGGGAGGGGGGCGATATCTGACACGTGCGTGTTCCTGTTTAGTTCCTGTTTGTCCTTATTTGGTTCTTCCAGTTACTTTTCCCATTATTAGTAATCACTTGTTCCTTGTTATTAGTTATCCTCATCACCTGTCTTCCCCTCGTTATCTGCCCTATTTGAGTTCGAGGTCGTTCTGTTCTCCCTTGTCTGGAATTGTTCATGTTAAACTTGCTACGTGTGTTTTTCTGTTTCCTTTTGATTATTAAAATTAGTAAAATTCTCCTACATCTCCTCGCTCCTTTGCTCCGCGCTCCTACACAGCAGCAGTTCCATGACAGTCATAAATTACATCTATAAAAGTTCTAATTAACTTGGAATATTCATTTAAAGGCTAATGGACTCAGAACAAGCTTTCTCAGTCAGTTGTTATATCTTATATATATTATATAAAATATAACATAAAAGACAATGTGTTGGTTATATCAAAGACGTGATGAAAGGGAAATGGCAGCAGATCTTGTCTTCCATATTGTGATGTACATCTAAATGAAACAGATTATTGAAAGTAAAAAAAAAAAAAAAAAAACAGTTTAAGCAGACTATATGATTGAAGAAGTCTGGTATATTGCACATCACTAGAGAGAAATAATTTTACCGTAATATCAACTTATGAAATTTTGATTAACAACTGCAAGGCCAAAAAAAAA